GTAATGTGTCAGAGTGTGTAACAGAGCCCCACAGCAATAATACTCCCAGTAATGTGTCTGAGTGTATAACAGAGCTCCACAGTAATAATACTCCCAGTAATGTGTCTTGAGTGTATAACAGAGCTCCACAGCAATAATACTCCCAGTAATGTGTCTGAGTGTATAACAGAGCTCCACAGCAATAATACTCCCAATAATGTTTCCGAGTGTATAACAGAGCTCCAGATCACTAATACTCCCAGTAATGTGTCTGAGTGTATAACAGAGCATCACAGCAATAATACTACAAGTAATGTGTCTGAGTGTATAACAGAGCATCACAGCAATAATACTACAAGTAATGTGTCTGAGTGTATGACAGAGCTCCACAGCAATACTACTCCCAGTAATGTGTCTGAGTGTATGACAGAGCTCCACAGCAATAATACTCCAGTAATGTGTCTGGAGCGTATAACAGAGCTCCACAGCAATAATACTCCCAGTAATGTGTCTGAGTGTATAACAGAGCCCCACAGCAATAATACTCCCAGTAATGTGTCTGAGTGTATAACAGAGCTCCCCAGCAATAATACTCCCAGTAATGTGTCTTTAACTTCAATAAATGTGTTTAGAAATCAGTCTGTGTAAATATGATACATTGTTCTTATTGTAAATTACATTTTAGTTGTATACATTGTTATTAGTAAGCCACCTACTTAAAAAAAAAAAAAGAAAAAAGAATTTTAGAACAGCCCCACCCCTGGCCACACCCCACTCACACCCCTACAAATCAAATCGTCCTTTGTCCATCTGAAATGCCAGATCTGGATGTATCTTAGCCAGTCCTGCTGTTTCCATATCTCTCTATTAGTGAAGTAGTGAAGTAACCGCAAGATACAAAGTTGTTGTAGTTTCAGTAGAACGCTGTCAGTTGTACTTTAACTCCCAGAAAACCTCTGCTGTGCACCGTTTTATAATTATTTATCTGAATCTGAAAAAATGGGATCGTTGCTGTTTGAAGAGCAGAATCTGTCAAACCCAATTATTCTAAATTGTGTGACATTAGCAATATTACTAAATAAATTGATCTCTGTGCACCAGAGTTTGTCTGCATTGTGTATTGCATTTTGTGAACAATGTAACAATGCTTTAAATGTGCTTTTCTTTTTTTTTTTTGCACCCCCCTTTTTTTTCCAGTCTGTGAATAATGCCATATTGTCATTATTCATCAGTGTGTGTCCCAAAAGAATGCCTAGAGAGCTTTCTAAATTAAGATAGTATTTGTCTTAATTTGCTGCTCTGTGTGTCCTGTCTTGCATTACTGAAGCAGTGCCTTTGGTTGGTCCATTTAATTGGCTCAGAGTGCAGAGGCGTACTCTGTCGGCTAGGGGAGGGAGGACAGGGAAACTATACATATCGGATGTGATAGGGGGGCTGCAATGAAGGAGGCTAGTAGGGTAGGAGGGTGAAGCAATCTTCCCCTTGCAGGCACCCTGCCTGCAATTGGGAGCTTTTTACGTCTGTCGGTAGCATGCAGTGCTCTCTGACGACAGACATTATGCACAGAAATTATATTAGGCAGCCCTGTACAGAGTTATGGGTTGCCAATGTCACGTGTGCTGGGGGTGCAACAATTAATAATATCTCTGTGTGACACTGCACATCCAGACTCCTACCATCATGACCACTTCAAATCACCGAGGTGGTCATGGTGGTTGGAGTTACAAGGCATGGTTTGTGTCAAGGTTGTGAATGTTTATTAAGAGAATCGTGCCTTAGGAACTCATAACATATAGACAGCACAATGCATTTTCCCTGTAGTTTGCATTTCCACAAATTAACCCTTGACATTTTATACTTGCTGGACATCGTGTAATTCTGACAATTCGTGTTCTGTATTTCTCAGCAGAATAAGCCCCAACTTTTCCTGCAAAGTCACAGTTAGACGTCCACCTTCCTCTTGCAGACACCAAGCTAAATGCACCAGAATCCAGACTTCTTCCTGACATTGATTGAATTCTGTTAGTATAACTTAATTCCATATATAGATTGTGCTTTATATTCAGATATCCTGGCATGAGTACCCCCAAGGGGATCTGCCAGGTGTCATTATAATCACTTCCAAGAAGAATATTCCAATTTAGAGAAGACTATCACATTTAGAAGCAAATAATCATGTTTCGTACTCTGTCACCAGCACAACCAATATTTTAGGATTCTTTAACCCAGGACACATGAAAAATGATCACCTAATCTTCATAACAGATGTACGCGTGCACATGAAAATAGCGTGTTGGTGTTTAGGTCAATTGTGAGGTTGCAACAAAATAAGAGATTTAGGGATCTGTATCTATTGTTATACTTGTTTTTAATGTTACTTTGACTTGGAAACATTTTTACACATTTGCATAATTTGGATGTCCAGCACAGTCCATAAGTTTTTAGACAGGCTCATACTGTATCACATTGTATTTGAATTAAGTAAGAACATCATGTGGAGACTGCCACACATGTTGGCTTTATTTTAGAGTATTTGGATCTATAAACCATCATTCAGGTAGAAATGACAGCCCATTGTAAACACAGGGAATCAGACGTAATTGGACAAATTGACAAATTTAAACAAAATCAGCATGTTTATTACTTGATCCCAGACTATTCTCCCATCACAGTAGAGCATTGGAAATAAATCAATTTGTCTAAGGAAATGATCAGGCTCTGTCTCTCTGATTTCAGCAACAAATTTAGCAGAGTATGTCGGTGACTGTCTCCAACTGAAGCCGGTTAAAGAGTTGTAAAATATATAGAAAAATGTTCACATCCTCCGATGGTTATTACTGATAAATTGGCTGTTTCATTGTTATATTTCTGTGTACTGTTTTGATTAAAATATTATCTGTTAAAGGGACATGCTTCACTTGACAGTTATTTTTTGTAAACCAGCAAACACTTTTAAACAAATACACAAACCAATGTAAACCAAAAAAAAAAAACCTTTAAAAAGTAATACACATTTATAAACGTTGTCAGCTTACATTATCGGGCACACCTAATACAGCTAGGGGAGGTTCTGTAAAACTTGATGATAGTTGTTCTATACTAATAGAAAACCAAAAAAGAAAAACAAGGTATAAATTAAAGCGGCACTGGCCACCTCTCCTGCAACTGCATATTTCATAAAGAGAAAAAGTCAAAAGATATACCGTATAGGGACAACTTTGTCTCAGTGTTTTCCCTACACCTGACACGTCTAGATAGTGGTTGGAGCTAGAAGTTTCAATCACCCAGCCGTCAACCAGTGATGACTACAGAAATATTAGCTTGTATTTATGGAGGACCCCTTAGGATGCTCAATAGACGTCAATGCTGCAATCTTGCGCAAAGCAGAAGAGGACCGCCCAAGAAGAAAATGTCAGTGCCGTGAGGGACAGGTTCAGATAAGTAAATCTCATGTTTAATCTGAGAATTCTGCCGTTGACTGTCTGGTGCCAACGTAATGTGCATGATGGCATCAGACATCAATTTTGTGCAGTGTTCCTATTAGCCAATCACTCTTGTTTCAGGTTGGCTGATGCCCCTATGCTGCTACCAAGGCGGCAGAGGCTTTAATCTCCATACGTGCAGCGTTTCAATGTGAAATTCTGCACATACAGACTGCAGGCACCATCATCACTTTAAATCAATGAAGTGGTCATGGTGCCTGGAGTAACCCTTTAATGCAAAGAATATAGTTACCGATTTATCAACAGAGATGTAGTCTAGCCATGTATTCATTTGTATTGATTTTAATTTTCTGTGCCCTTGAATTACTGCTTTTAAAATATATATATTTTTACTGCAGAGTGCGACCAAACCTTTGGGAAAGTTTTAAATTTAAAGCCTTCAATGAAAGGGCAATAGAATAAAAATAGAGTGTCTCCCAAGGAGAAATATTGGAAAATGTCATGAATTTAAAAATGCTTTCAAATGTTCTTTGACTAGTATAAATATTTCATAGCAGAGCAGTCGCCCTGAGAAATCACTTTTACTTAACTTCCTCCACTCCTGGATCAAAGGCTCTCTAATAAAACTTTAGTTTGTGGTCCCCGTTAATGATGCCGGCATTGGTTGTACAGCGAAGGTTTCATTTATATGAAAAAGAATATGTGATTAAACAATAGCTATCCTCATGTTTTATTAATATCCAGCAAAGGTTAGCTTTGTTATATCGCATAATGTTATCAACTTTTTCTTTTTTTTGTGTGTGTAAATTTATAAAACCTAATTTTCCCTCTATTGTTAGCTTTATTCTAGATTCCAAGCATTTTCGAAATCCTACATTTGCATGTTAGAGAATTTAAAGACCTAGCTCGGATTTCCTGCCCGTGACATGAAAGCCAGATTTGTGAATTGAAAGCCATTCCTGACAGCTGCGTTCGTCTTATGTCCAGCAATGTCTTCATACATCTTTAATAGTAAATATGTCCACTGTAGATCGCTTGGAGAGAGGACAGTAATGTGCATTAAACTGGAATGGTTAGCACTCCACCCAGATAAACATTAAATGGCCCGTATCACTTCGTGTGACTGTATGTTTCACTCCCGCATCGCTTCGTATGACTGTATGTTTCACTCCCGTATCGCTTCGTATGACTGTATGTTTCACTCCTGTATCGCTTCGTATGACTGTATGTTCCACTCCCGTATGACTGTATGTTTCACTCCCGTATCGCTTCGTATGACTGTATGTTCCACTCCTGTATCGCTTCGTGTGACTGTATGTTTCACTCCCGTATCGCTTCGTATGACTGTATGTTTCACTCCCGTATTGCTTCATATGACTGTATGTTTCACTCCCGTATCGCTTCGTTTGACTGTATGTTCCACTCCCGTATCACTTCGTGTGACTGTATGTTCCACTCCTGTATCGCTTCGTATGACTGTATGTTTCACTCCCGTATCGCTTCGTATGACTGTATGTTTCACTCCCCTATCGCTTTGTATGATTGTATGTTTCACTCCCGTATTGCTTCGTATGACTGTATGTTTCACTCCTGTATCGCTTCGTATGACTGTATGTTCCACTCCCGTATCGCTTCTTATGACTGTATGTTTCACTCCCGTATCCCTTCGTATGACTGTATGTTTCACTCCCGTATCGCTTCGTATGACTGTATGTTTCACTCCCGTATTGCTTCGTATGACTGTATGTTCCACTCCCGTATCGCTTCGTATGACTGTATGTTTCACTCCCGTATTGCTTCGTATGACTGTATGTTTCACTCCCGTATCGCTTCGTATGACTGTATGTTCCACTCCTGTATCGCTTCGTATGACTGTATGTTCCACTCCTGTATCGCTTCGTATGACTGTATGTTCCACTCCTGTATCGCTTCGTATGACTGTATGTTCCACTCCTGTATCGCTTCGTATGACTGTATGTTTCACTCCTGTATCGCTTCGTATGACTGTATGTTTCACTCCTGTATCGCTTCGTGTGACTGTATGTTTCACTCCCGTATCGCTTCGTATGACTGTATGTTTCAATCCCGTATCGCTTCGTATGACTGTATGTTTCACTCCCGTATCGCTTCGTATGACTGTATGTTCCACTCCTGTATCGCTTCGTATGACTGTATGTTTCACTCCTGTATCGCTTCGTATGACTGTATGTTTCACTCCTGTATCGCTTCGTGTGACTATGTTTCACTCCCGTATCGCTTCGTATGACTGTATGTTCCACTCCCGTATCGCTTCGTGTGACTGTATGTTTCACTCCTGTATCGCTTCGTGTGACTGTATGTTTCACTCCCTAAAGTCACTGGTGCTGCGTGAGGAAATTTAAAGGCGCAGGATAAATAAATAGGCATTCCAAATGATGCAAGTACTGTAGCTAATCGTGCTTAGTTCAGCCGCCCCAGTTTTGCCAGCTGGTCCTTGCCTTCCAGATTTGGGTGAATACATTGTGTGGAAATAAATCCCATCAGTAGCAGTGAGTCTGGGGTTTGGAGACTGGGAGAAGCCTACTTTTAAACAAACTGATTTGAAAACAGTTTGATCAAAACTGGAAGAAGGCACTCGAAGACTCAAACTTCGACTGTTCCACAATCATGTCGCTTGTATTGGGTAGTCATCAGAATTATAAAGTTCTCCTTAAACTTGGTGGTCTTTTAAAAAATTTTTAATGTTTTTTGCAGTAATGAGTCAGGATAGATGACATGACTTTTTTATTCTTTCCCTTAATTTATGCTTTTCTGCTGCTTATTTTCACATTAAATTGGACCTTTTTATAGTCTGAGCTAATGCAGTTGTTCTATGGCACCACAGAGATGTCTTTATTTCTTCTGCCTATCCTGACTAGTCTATAACTTTAACACCTGACTAGTATTAGTCTGGTTAGTCCAATTAGTCCAGATATGGAAGTCTGACATTGTCACTTTTTTATACTTTTTTTTTATTTTTTGGGGCAAAGGTAACATCCCCATGATGTACTTGCAAACAAGAGTAATCTGAATGTACCTTTCCTTGTTATTATTATAACCACTTCACTGGTGTTTGCAGTTGCTCTTTCATTTTATTATGTTGATTGTGTATCTTGCCACCAGATCTTTAAAATAATATGGCAAGAGTTCCCTCCTATTATTATAATATATATATAATTCTTTTTTTGGTATGTGTTTACAAAATTTTTTTTAATATGTTTATAATGCCTTTTATTTTCTAAAATGATACTGGTTTAAGATTAGCGCCATAGATTCAATATCATTTTACAAAATCATGGTCCAAAGTGAAATATATTCTACCAAGGCATTCTATTATGGATATTTTTAATTAAAATGACTGAGACATTAAATCAGTCACCGCTAATTAAGTTTTCAAAGATTTACGTAATAATAATCAGGACCAGTAACTAGCGATCAAAAATTGAAAAAAGGCCTCTGATTACAGTGATTTTTTTTTTGCTATGCACAGTTTGCTTTTTTTTAATAATGCAACAGAAAGTTGCAACTTCAAATTAAATTAATGTATCATTATAAAGTAGTACCACCTGTTCGTTTGGGTTTTAATTACCTTCCGTTAATATGTCACGCATAGCATTGTGTACGTGTTCCCCTTATTTAGTTATTCCCAAATGATTTACTTGATTTTATTAAGGTATTTATATTTAATTTCTTTGTGGAAGCTACGATAGGGGACAGATTATATGTGCAAGCTCGTAGCAAAACTGGGCTTTATTTATGATGTCCTTTTAAATTATTCATAGCCTTACAAAGCTTTCTTAAAGACAACAAATATACAAGAGCGTATAGAATCAAGCAAAGTTTAAAAGGGCATTAATGTCTTAAAGGAGCGCCCAGACAGCTGGGGATTTTTGATATATAAAGGTCATCTAAAATAAGTGGATAAGCTGTATTCTCAAGGTTGTTTAGTTGTGTTACCCTTTCCCCATAATATTCTAGATTCACTATAATATAGTATACATTCACTTCCCCGTTTAGTCTAAGTTCCCCAATGTAGTTTTTGGTCTCAAATTCTACTATTTTGGTAACTTTGGATTTATCTGGTTGGAAAAAAAATCAACTTTTCCATAAACTTCTCTCCTCCGCACCTCTGTTGCATCTTAAACCTTTGCATAATCCTTCCAACAGACTG